AACCCGACGACAGAACTGGGTCGGGGTCATTGTGTCAGGTCAGTATGCAACCTTCAACCGACGGTTACGGTCACGCGTGTAGAGGTAAACGAACCCGTATAATCGATTGGGTTTCAAAAAACAACAAGCACTAGAGACGTGGCTAGAGAAGTGCAAGTATCAAAAACTAAAGTGTGGGAAACGCTGCGTGAAGAGGGACTGTATCCGTTTCACGTCCAACGTGTACAAGCCCTTCAACCTGACGATTTTCCAGCAAGAGTGCAGTTTTGTGAGTGGTTGTTGGATCAACATGACAATAATCCGGACTTTTTGAAGTGCATATTGGTGACAGACGAATCTACGTTCACGCGTAATGGGGCAAATAGCTTTAGCAACACTTATGTTTGGTCAGTAGAAAATCCGCAAGCTGTCCGTCGGGCACATTTTCAACAAACATTTTCGGTGAATGTTTGGGCTGGCATGGTGAACGGTATGCTCATTGGACCATTTATTCTCCCAAATCGATTGGACGGGATGCAATACCTAGACCTTTTACGCAACATTTTGCCTTCCTTGTTAGAAGATGTGCCATTAAGTGTAAGACAATCAATGTGGTTTCTGCACAATGGTGCACCGCCCCATTTTAGACGCGAAGCGCGTGAGTTTTTGATGAATTATTTCCGAATAGGTGGATCGGACGTAATGGACCCGTAGCGTGGCCTCCGCGATCTCCATGTGATTTTTTTCTTTGGGGAGAAATGAAACGCTTAGTGTACAAAGCTGAAGTGCATACGGTTGACGAACTTCGTCTCAGAATTGAACAAGCTGGTGCTTTCATTCGGGGGAGGGACTCCATTCTCAAAGCCTGCACCGATGCTTGGCTACGTCGTGCACGCACCTGTGTTTTTGGTTTTTGAATCAAACGGCGATAACTTCGAACAATACCTATAAAGTACGTTTACCTAAAAACTGGAAACGCGGCAACGCCGTCATATTTGTTACCTCTGTTCGTGGTCTGCACCACCGCCGGCGTCTGCTCGGTAGCGCATCAGCTGATTTCATTTTCTGTTGCAGCGGTATGATTTCGGGCAGAGACGTACTTAGCCCTTCTCGTCAACTGGACAGTGAGTACTTTTTCCTTTATTTTTTTTTTAATTGGTCGCCCTCGTTTCACTACACATTACCTTTGTTATTTCAAGGGTAGTTGTTTCTGAAAAGGAAAACCCCAACTTTGCGGACACCCTGTATTATATTATATTTACTGGAATTTGAGTGAGCCATGCTCACGAGGTAAAATATTACTGTTGTTCTCAAGTAGCATTGCCTTACTTATAAGTTGAGTGAGAACATGCAAAATTTTACCTCCAGGTCCTCATGTTTTTTACAGGTACCTGATCATTTTAATTTAGTTCAATTTAGTGCAATCACGATTTTCCTTGCTCACCGTGATTGAACAGCAGCTTTGTTTTAATTTAAAGTTTTTGAATTGATGCAACCCAAGACTAAATGGCTGCATTTTAAATGTGAATTTTTAATTCTTGGAAGCAAATTAAAAGGGGGAATTATTAGTCAAATCGTTATTACGGGTTATTTTTAACAAGTAATATTTTCTTCTTAGAGTTCTACGTCCGGGTTCTGATTTACATCTGCGACTTCCTATCCTTGGTTACTCTTGCTTCGGAGCTTTCACTAGGGTAGCCTTTCCTTCGTGAGACCACCATTCTGCAATAGCCAAGCACCTACCAAGGTGATTTTTTTTTAGTTTTTGCTGGAAGCCATTTATTTGGGGGCTTAGTACCAACTAATTTGCCTTTGCTTATCTCCCAGGACTTCTTTTGAAGTTCTTTTCTTTCAGAAAATGTTTGTGTGCCTTGTGAATTTGTGTTTCCTTTAGCTCCAGAAACCCATCATTTGACAGTCAGTTTAAGTTTTGATAGGCCGAAAAGCACTACTTAAAATTTCTTTTTCCTAGTTCTTAGAACTAGCTGGCGCCCAAACCTCAACCGTTTGTATCAAAGACCAAAGTACGGAGGTCACATTGTCTACCAACTGAGCACAGGTTTAGCTATATTTTTTCCAAAATCATAATTTAGCAAAACCAGAGCGGTGGCGGCCGCGGTAGCGATAGCGATCGCGGTGGCGATGGCGGTCACCAGGTGGACTACATGTCCGCAAACCAATGCGATTTTTCAGCGACAAATCTAGTATCTTTAAGAGTATTCAGAATTACAGTATGTAATGAGTGCACAGAATATAGAAGAAGAAGTTTTGCTTTTGTCTTTGTGAGTGCATGAAGATGAGGAAAGGCAAAGGGCGCGAAGACAGACCTTTGCCGGGTCAGGTTGACTTGCCGCCTTGTGTACTTATAAGAAATGAAGGCTTTCCACTTAAAGAATTTTTAATGCGACCTTTCATTGACTGTCGATCAAGAATTGATGAGAGAAAAGAAATATTTAGTAAAAGACTGTGTCGAGCACGCCGTGATGTAGGTACCTTATCTCATAAGTGGCGTATGCTTTTTAGACCAATCGAAGTAAAAATTGAAACAGCAATAATTATTTTTAAAGCTACTTGTGTATTACACAATTACTTGCACATAAGAAATGTATTTGCAGCATCTTTTCCAAATCTTACACATCCTGTTTTATTGGATTATTACAAACATTTTTCTACAAACTCCTAGAATTCAAGGAGGTCATCGGTTCCGAATCTTTGCCTCTCCAAGCTTGAGATATATCTGATTAAATCAACGTCAGTGAATTGGTATCCCAACAATTATCACTCATATTAGAGTTAGGATGATTATACAGTATTCCGTAAACATCATTGTATACTGTAAGAATATTGGCAAAACCCTCTTAGAACAGCTATACAAGCGGGATGGGCACACCTAATAGGACACTTCAGTCATTTAAGAGGTTGTATAAGGGCTGCAGGCAACAGTTATAAAACAAAAGTGTAAGCCTCTTGCAGCCGCTATAGGACATTTGCGTCAGTGCAAGATTCAGTTTTTGTCAACTATACAACTATTCTGTTACGTGATTCTACGTTATTGCAACCAAACTATTTCCTATGTATTGTATAGACGAAGTGAAGAATATATAACTAACACATTACAGTCATCTTGTTTACTTACATATCGGCCATTGTGAATTTCATACACAGGTATATTATGATAACTTGTACACTGTGATATAGGGCTATTGAATTACTTGCGCAGCAAATTTTATTGTGATTATCGTGCAAATTAGTTACCCAATTTCTACGGGCTTTGTATTTGATTCATATGCTGACAATGATCAAAAGTATGTCTAGATTTTTCAGATGGAAAATTGAACTTATCTGCGTTAAATCTTCCACAAATCCTATATTTAGACACAATTACACTAATTTTTATCACTTTATACCTGTAATTTCGAACTGAAACATAATTATTTAACATTAAATAAAGGAATAAATCTTTGCCCAATATGGCGGGTGGTTGTGTACAATTATGGCATCGTCCATGTTGTCTTTAGGTTATTAGAATATTTTGGTGTTGCCTGCAGGTGTTATACAACAATTTGCCTGAAATGAAATACCGACCGAGTCGAATGATTTACCCAGAATTTGTACCAGATCTATATCTTCTGTTTGAACAGTTGATAAAACCTTTTGAACCAATATGCATGCGTTGTTTGTCTTAAAACATTGGTTATGGCATTTTAACAAAAATATGACAGCAGAAAGTTAGGTTATGGTGAAGTTGTTTAGCAACATATTTAGCATACGTACAGCCTTTAACAGTTACTAAACAACAGTTGAATAAGTGGTTCCGTTGGGAACAATTTGTTGGCTAAAGTAGTAAATTGCACAGCAAAACAACAAGGCTCGGGTTTGTTTTATAAACGTTACCATGGATGCCACAACACAACCATTTTGACTAACTTGCAAATATGCCGTATAAAATAGTTGTATGAATGTTTATGCAACAATTAAAAAATTTGCCCTATAAGGTGTTGTACAACTATGCTATAAGAATATTTTAAACACCTCATTTTAGAGCCAATTTTTGTTGCAGAAAGCAAATTTGCATTTCACACAACATTAAGCCAGCATTTTGGTGTTCAGGCAACAACAATAGAGAGCTTTTATGGTTGAACGGCTCTTTTACCAAAAGCTTATACCACTAGTTGGGATCCGTCGAGGTAGTAGGAATTAATTTAGAAACTACCACACCATAGTATATCAACACCGAACATCGTACATGTAAATAAAAACGCAGACAGCGAGAAACAAGGCACCAACCACTCAGTAGTCGTTTTGAAATTGACAAGAGATTCTAAAATACGCCAATCGTGAGACAAACGGAATGTCAAGCCGAATGCAAGTACAGAAAGTAAGCATTGAGATAATTAATAAATATTTAATGATATAACAAGGGCGTAAAAGTTTTGTAAGTTTTGGAAATATGCACATTGCCGGCTCAGCTGCGTGTAAAAAAACAAAAAAATGCGACAAAAGATTTCTCAAAGTCCGTCTTTTCACAATTCTGAGACGTAGCCTGTATTGTGTCGTTATCAGATAGCCACACGCATTGGCAAAGGGCAAATACCAAGATTGCCGAATGCGACACCAATTTTTTGATATATTTGAAAAATGTGTTTAGTGCTGAACTTCTCTTTCACTTAACATAGACTACGATTTGAGATCTGTTTAGCAAATTATTGCTCCATCACCACCAAACGGAGTTTCAAAAATATCAGCAGTCTCCGAGAATATCAGTCGGTAATTTCGGCAATTTCAGAAATTCGGTCAATCAACATCTTCCTACAAAATCGCGATTTGTTAATGATAAATAATAAAAGCTCCTGTAATGTGTATTGGTTCAATGATCATATAAGAAATATGAGAGTTACTTTCCTAACAGAGCTTCATCAGCACAATGCTACGTTAGTTAGTACGGACTGCTTGAAAAAATTTAAATACAGTTACTGACAAAGAATTCTTAAAGCCAAGACTAGAGCCAATGGTGACTAGATTTATAAATCCAACAACAAACTGCAAGCTGCCTGGAATATTATAAAGAATGTTAAACTGAACGCACACAACCAGGACTCCTCAACATCTCTCACGGCCCATCAATTCAACGACTTTTTTACCCATATACTCCATCGCATTATATGAATCATCCTACTCATAGTTCACACTTTCGATCCAGAGAAGTTACATATAATAATGTGAGAACAGCGATAAATAAACTAAAACACTCAAAGAGTACTGACCCGTATGGATTTACTGTCAGGATTGTCAATACCTTGCACAATGTCTTCATATATCAGTGTACAGAAGGTGCTGCTTTCCCGGATTTATTCAAACTATCTAAAATTATACCCATTTTTAAAAAAGAGGATACTTAAGAGTTATGTAATTACAGGCCCATTTCCCGAATACTTATTTTCGAATTATTTTTGAAAGATCAAATTAATGAATACTTTAAGGCTTATAACACTGATCAACAGCCAAACAATATCCTAAATAAAATCAACAAAATATTACTATTTTTAATGTGCTAAAACCGGAATGAAACTTATTTTTTCAATATTAGTTCAAGTCTTAGAGATATGGTAATTATATGTGTTCCTGCTGTGACAGTGTTAATATACTGTAATTCACAAGAATGCACGTGCTACATTTTTATATTCGGCAAGGAAAGATGATGTAATCGGCATGATTGTGTTACGTTATACATACGTGTACATTATATTGTTTTATATTAGCCATCTTTTCCTCAGTTGGCTGACAGCGTTCATGCAAGATGTCTCGAAAGTGTGTAAACAATCCAGATCAGTTTTGTTACGTGTGTGGTGTTGTGACTTTTGCGTCTCAGAGACGGTCTATTACTCCACTAATAACAAAGGCATATCAGCTTTATTTCGGTTGTAAACTAGGTGATCAAGACAAACAGTGGGCACCCCACATCTGCTGTAATACATGTGCTTCAAGTCTGAGGAGCTGGTTGAATGGCAAAAAACGGTCTATGCGCTTTGCTGTCCCAATGGTTTGGAGAGAGCCTACAAATCATATTAATGATTGTTACTTTTGCATGGTACCTTATGTTGGACAAGCCACAGGTATGTCCAAGAAAAAAAATCGGTTATTAACTACCCAAACATACCATCTGCGATGAGACCTGTGCCTCACAGTGACGAAAATCGTATTCCAAAACCCCCAGAATCCTACACTTGCGAATCAGAAAACGAATCGGATCATGGCGATCGAGTGATTCGTCAGGAAGAAGATATGCCATCAACGTCAAGAGATCCTGATTTTATACCGAGCACGTCATGCCACCAACCGCACAAAATAACACAGTCAGAATTAAATGATCTTGTAAGAGATTTAGAACTTCCAAAATGTAAGGCAGAGTTACTTGGATCAAGACTGCAGCAGTGGAACTTGTTAGAAGACGATGTTTCGGTATGTGTTTTTCGTAAACGCCACAAAGACTTAGAACCATTTTTCAATATGGAGAATAACATCAACGGCTTACTGGCGGCTTTAAATATAAACTATAACCCAGAAGAATGGAGATTGTTTATAGACAGTTCAACATTGAGTTTAAAAGCAGTGTTATTGCATATTGGAAATATTTTACCATCTCTTCCTGTAGGGTATGCAGTTCACATGAAAGAATCATATGACAATATGAAGTACCTACTGACATGCATACAATACGATGAGCACCAATGGCATATTTGTGGCGATTTGAAAGTTGTTGCACTTTTACTTGGGCTGCAGCTAGGCTACACAAAGTTTTTCTGTTTTTTGTGTGAATGGGACAGTCGGGCAAAGGCACTTCATTACACCAGACAAAACTGGCCTGTTCGTCAGTTTCTAGAGCCAGGTCAAAAAAATGTACAGCATATGCCATTAGTAGATTCGAAAAAAAATTACCACCACTGCATATCAAGTTGGGCCTAATGAAAAACTTTGTCAAGGCATTAGATAGAGATGGGTCAGCTTTTCAATACCTGCGTCAGAAATGTCCAAGACTAAGTGAGGCAAAAGTTAAAGAAGGTATTTTTGTTGGGCCACAGATTCGAAATATTTTGAAAGATACACAGTTTGAAAACACTTTAACAGGTTTTGAAAAAACTGCTTGGAATAATTTCCGTCTGGTGGTCACTAATTTCTTGGGAAATAGAAAAGCTGACAACTATAAAACTCTTGTCAAAAATATGCTGTCATCGTATAAAAAGATGGGCTGTAATATGTCTCTTAAGATATATTTCCTACACTCACACCTGGACTTTTTTCCTGGCAATTGCGGAGCCGTAAGTGATGAGCACGGCGAACGTTTTCATCAGGATATTTCGACAATGGAAAAAACGTACCGGGGAAAGTGGAATCCTTCCATGCTTGCAGACTACTGTTGGACTCTTGGTAGAGATGCTCCAGAAACGATCCATAAAAGAACAGCAAAAAGACAGCGCATATAGTGATTCTTATAAGTATATGAATCTTGTTACTTTTTATAATACATCCTTAAAAATAAAAAGTTTTTTTTCTAAACCGCAACTAATTTTTTATTTCATTGTCATTTTTGGATTCAGCGCCCCAAAATTAACAAAGAAGTGCACTTTTCCCACAAGATACAATTAAAAAACTAAAATTTGTTGTCCAGTGTAATTTATTCTGCTCAACACGGTTTGGTCTTCGGAAAAATATTTCCACCACATCAGTTATTAACAGTTTTTTCAGTTTGTGTACGAGACTTTTGGAAATAACCCATATAGCATGTTTTTTGGACTTATCAAAAGCTTTTGATTGTGTTCAACACGACATCCTGTTGGAAAAGCTCCCTTTTTGTAACTTCCAAGAAGCATCCACTGGAATGATTATATCATACTTGAGTAATCGTTGACAATTTGTACTCTTTAAAGGTTCATCATCCTCACAGTTAGTCGCTGTTCACAGGGTACCGCAAGGCTCGGTATTAGGTCCTATTTTATTTTTAACTTACGTAAACGATACGACTATAATGTGAATAATAACTTAATCCTATTCGCTGATGACTACCGTGGTGAATAACAAACGTAACAAGTCATACATCGTCGAATTCGTAGAAAAATATGTTGTCAGATACTTTTTTAGGACGATTTAAAAAAATAAAGTTGATGGTTCCTCATAAAACGAAACTTCCGCACAAAATTCAGAAACACCATTATGTAGTGCCTCAAAAGTACCAAAATCTCTATTAATTTTTTGATATTCCTTAAATTCTCGAGTCATATGAAAATAAAAACGATTTGGCCAAATTCTAGTTTTTCTCAAATACCTCAGTGAGCCGTAAAAGTTTCTCAACGGATGTAAATATGCCCCAAGGAATGCGGCTTTTTCCTAATGTAACCTTAGCTGTATCTTCCACAGTCATTGAGATTCCCATGCTTAAGATCCTTATCTTAGACATCCTGTATATAGCGACTTTTTACACCATTCGAGAGCGTTTGTCGCATCCTTGGGTTGGCTTCTAATGTATTCGAATTTCGTTCGACTGTACCAATTAACTCAATAGCGACAAAGCCTAGACCATGCTGATGAGTAAAGAAAAGCACGCAACGGCTGTTTATGGTTGGCTCTCTTTTGGTCGGACGGATGAAAAAGCATAGTGTTTAGTTTTTTTCAATACACCTATACAGTCGTGGAAGTTGCAAGAAATCTGCGTTTCATCATATTATATAAACTGTAAACTCTTGGCGAAATGTAAAATGAAAATTTGCTCTTTACCTTTGTTTATTTTTCCCGTCCGGGCCCTGAATCAATAGAGCGAATTGATTAAAATCTCGCCTTTGATATAATGAAAAAATGCTGTTACGCTGATGTATCAACGATCAATATTTTCCGAGTTTCGCTCCCGCGAAGCTACCTTAAAATATTTCTCGCCTTATTTCTTTCTCAAGGTGAAAAGGGAAAATAATTTTCTTCGGGAGATGGGGATGTAGATATTACCGCTAAAGTCAAGATAATAAAAATCTTGCATTACGCCGAGATTGGTTCTTTAGGATCGTGCCTTTTGGATAATCTCAGGGTCAATATAACAAGGACTGTTACCTTCAATGTCCCTTTGAACAACCAATCTGAAATCGTATCGTTGAATGACGACTAGAATTATTCACTGTAATGGTGAAAAAAATATTCGCTGAGGCAACATAGCTGACCCTTTTTTATACCTTTTATTATCTAATTTTTTTGTGAAAGGATGCGTTTTCTCTTTTGACTTACTACATATACAGGTCTGTCGCTCTGTCTATCCGGCTGTATGTCCGTTAGTCCTTATCCTGTCTATAATTTGGAAAGTACCTCTCGGATTTGGATTGAATTTTCGTACAAGGCTACTACTATTCCAGGAACAAAAAAGATTTGTTGTTTTAGAGCATTGGTCCAGTGCCAAAATGCCAAAAACCAGAAAAACTTGTTGCTAACATCTCGTTCTTCGACGTTTGGGAGGATCCTTGAAAAAATATTTAGGGGTAAGAAATTGGGAGGTGGGGAGTCATAGAGAAGGTCCATCCCAAGCACTACAGTATATTTATGCAGTTTCAACCCAGGTAATTCTACCCACCTATTGGATATGAACATCAATCAGGACGATAAAGGAATGTACTCGATACGCGTCCCTATGGCTGTACCGGCGGGCATGTCAGCATTGTGCAAAGTGTAATGTTGCAAAGTGCCCTGACATGACTAGCGCTGAGATGAGCTGCCGCGTTTGACGCATCGTGCTATCAGATAGATGGACGGTACCACAGGAGGGGCAGGGAATAAATGTCCATGGACATAACATTATTATGGACCTGTTTGACGGACTTAATCCTGCTACACTTGTCTTTAACTTTTTCTCGGAGGTTCAAATGTGAACTTGCTGCTTTTGTTAGTCCGACCAAAGACAGCCAACCGTGGACAGCTGTTTCGTGCTTTTTTGGCAACTCATTAGCGTGGTCTATGCTTTGTTTCCGGGACAAGGAGCGAAATATATATCTATAAATAAGTCAGCTTGTCGTCTTAAGGT